TCATTTGTATGTGGGACAGTAGAGCAAAGCAACTTCATTGGGAACAAGATGTTTGGTCTGTAAGAAATTCTTTAACTGTCGGTAATGTAATAAGGGAGCCGTTGGTGAGCAGAGACAAAATCATACTTCCACCATTACATATTAAGTTAGGAATGATAAAGCAATTTGTAAAATAGTTGGACAAGGAAGGAGATTGTTTTAATTACATTTGTAGAAAATTTCCGAAGCTTAGTATGGAAAAGTTGAAAGGTGAAATATTTGATGGTTCTCAAATACGGCACTTGATGAAAGACGTAGATTTTATTAAAGTTATAACTTTAATATTAATATTAGTATCAAGTTACACTATCTCCGTAATCATCTGGATAAATTTCCGGATAATTTAGGAAATTATAGTGAGGAACAGGGAGAGCGGTTCCACCAGGATCTAAATGTGATGGAGGAAAGGTATCAGTCGATGGGATTATCACATGATGGGAGATTACTGCTGGTCTTTAAAAAGAGATTGTCCCCTGAAAAATTATAAAAGAAAAGCTCATGAAAGGTGTTTTATGGAAATATAACATAATATATGTTTTCGACATTTTTCTCTCTATTTACTTCGATGTATCCTGATTTTTCAAAACAAAACTGACATTATAAATATATCTGTTATTTTGTTTCTTGTTTTCCGATTTTTGTAATGTAAAATGAAAATAGAGATTTAAAAAAAACGAGAGCAAATCTTACAAGATCATTGATAGTTTCATAAATTGTGAGCATAGATATATCCAAAATCAATCTTACATCTAAGGCAACAAAACCACTGTAGATCGCTACGGTAATGGAAGCTATAACAGTACTCAAACGGGTGCTGTAATGAGACTCTTTACAGCATCCGATGCTGTAATGAGATTTTAGTAACATTTTATGGAACCAGTTCAAGTTGGTGACATTGGGTCATTAATTTTTCTAGTTGTCAATGTGACAATTTTTGTCTATGGATGTTTAAACACGTTCTTAACATCGAATACAAGGTCCACAATGATGAGGACATTGAACACTAAGCAATTCTCTTATTTTGGGAGGTGTACATGAAACTTTACTTTTCAGGTGAATACATTTTGTGTTTTGACAGTTTCTAACTGTCAATTCAAATTTCTATTTTCAAGTGTTACGGTGTTACCAACTGCTACATATCTATTTCCCTACATTGTCAAAATTTATTTTACTTTTGAGAAAAAAAGGATAAAAACGCGAATTACAAAAAATAGCATAAAAAACACGTTTCATAAGACTTAAAGCACTCATTCATTAAAAAACTCGTGGCTTCGCCACTCGTTTTTCAACTTGAATTCCTGCATTTCAAACGTGTCTTACGAAACTTGTTTTTTAATATACTATTACAACTAACACAACTTGAAACAGTTTCTCAGATATTTTTACATAAATTTGGTATTCCAAGATAATCACTGTTTAAGGGCACTTTGTAAAATTTAACTATGCTCAGTAAACATTAGTTGGCGTTGAAAATGATTTTATTTGGTCAAACACTAGACTAACACTGTCAATTGGCATTAATACTAGAGTATTGATGCTAATTGACAGTGGAAATTATTAAAGAAAAACGAAAATAAAGCATTAAATTTAACAATCTGTATCTTCGTTATTATTAACAATTGGACTAAGATAAATTGGATTAAATCGTAATAATTTTAAAATTTAACCCAATTTATCTTAGTTCAATTCTAAATAAAAACTTTTTCACCGTCAACTAATGTTTACTGAGCATTGTTAAATTTTACAATGTGCCCTTAAATAGTGATTATCTTGGAAACGGAGAACTTTAGAGAAGATTGGTAAGTATACCAAATTTATGTAAAACAGTCTGAGAAACTGTTTTAAATTGTGTGAGTTGTAAAAATTTTAAGGATGGAAAAGATATGACTAATACCAAATTAAATTAAAATTAGAACTAAAACTAGAACTAACACTAGAAACTTTCGGGTTTTGCCGTGCGTCCATGTTGCAACTTCACTTCGAACCAGTTTCTGTAGAAGGTTGCAACACGGCATCCGAAACGTCAAACCTTTTCTTAAAAGACGCACGGCAAAACCCGAAAGTTTCTAGCGTTAGTTCTAGTTTTAGTTCTAATTTTAGTTTAATTCACACCGGCCGTGAAAGCCTTCGTACTTATAATACCAAATTATTATTTATCGTCTCAAAAAATGATAATGTACTAATTTTCAAGTTCATAATTTAAGCAGAAGCGAAATTATTAAAGAAAAACGAAAATAAAGTATTAACTTTACATATCTGTATCTTCGTTATTATTAACAACTGGACTAATTGTAAGATAAATTGGGTTAAATCGTAATAATTTAATGTAAGGAATTCAGTGTTGCTCTGTGTCCCATTAGTAACAGACCCACCTGTATATGTATACTGACGAAGAAAAAAGTCTTGAAGGACTTGCAATGACCATTAACACGTTCACTGTCGAGCGACACCGTTAACCAACGTTGACATACGAGTTAATTCGTAGTCTGCAGCGAACGTGTTAAGAAGGCAGTACTGCAAGAACCCTTGGTGTTAGTGACGGAACGGTGAAAACAGTAAGTTACGAATACATAAGTAAAGGCATTGTAGAAAATCCAGTATGGGCAGGAAGAACAAAATATAATGAAGAACTGTTAGGAGATTATTACCTTGCGAAGAGATATCCGACAGCCCGAGAAATGTAGGTAGACCTTAAAAACGATGTACCAAGTCTTCCTCTGCTTTGATTAAGAAACCTTCATTTTGTTTATAAAAAAGGAAACAATAAACCGATTTTAATGGAACACCCGAATATTGCTGCATACAAGGCAGATTTTTAAACTCTTTGCTAACTTATAGAAACAGCATGGGAAATCTTTAAAATAGACGAAACTTGGTGTGGGCCAAATCATTTAAGAAGTTTTGGATGAGTGGAAAGAATAACTTCTGAAAATACAGACAGTTTTGAAGAGTATTGTGGTGGTGTTCAAGAGGTTAATAGCAATAATGGCAGTTTTCAAAGTTCTGCGAAATCTCTTTAAGATGCCATTACTTTGAGGATGATAACAAAGTGTGAATTTGTTTTGAGCCAAACAATCGATTAAATTCTGCAAAAAGTTGCGATTATATTTTTTTTTAAATAAGCGATGGGTTGTGAAAAATTACCATTTTTTTGCGATAGTTGAATTCGAGCCAAAGTTGTTGAATTTGCTAATTGAGTTTTAGAGAGTTCAAAACTTTGATTACACTCTGCTGACCAATTTTCAATAACTTTGCTTTTATATTTATAAAGTAAATTCGAAAGATGATATAAAGGTGCAAGTATATTTGAAAAATTTGGAACAAATCTATGATAAAAATTTATCATACCCAAAAATCTTTGTAACTGTTTAAGTGTTTTTCGTGTTGGAAATTCTTTAATAATTTTAATTCTGTCATCTGAAGGACGAATGCCTAGAGGAGAAATGTGATGACTCAAAAAATTTATGAATTGCACACCAAAAATGCATGTAGAAGGTTTAACTGAAATTCCAAAATCATTTAACTTATTAAAAAATATATCTAAATGAGAGATGTGTTCTTCTTCATTTTTACTTACAATAATTAGAATATTATCTAAGTAAACAAAGATAAAGTTTAAGCCTGAAGTAACTTCGTTGATAAAACGTTGGAATGTTTAAGCAGCATTTCTCAAACCGAAAGGCATCCTAGTAAACTCAAATAAACCAAAAGGGGTGGTTATCGCAGTTTTGTAAACGTCTTCCTCGGCAATTGGTATTTGGTGGTACGCCCTTACAAGGTCTATCTTAGAAAAGATTTTACAGTTGTGCAAATGTAAATTAAAATCTTGAATATGCGGTAACGGATATCTGTCCCCACAAACCATCCGATTTCTATCGGGGTTACCAATTGAGGTTTTTTGGTTGTAAATTAAATTACATCTACCGCAACTATCGAAAGTATGAAGATTTTAAATAACGTGTTTTTTGCGAAAAAAACAGGCAATAATATTTTTTATGAATAAAAAAATGGTAAGTGTTGTACCATTTTGGAAACTTGACTAAACAGGCCATCTTTTAAAATTACTTGCCAAGGGTGTTGTACTACTCTTTTTTTTAGAAATCGTGTGTCAAACTTAATAGACAAATGCTACGATTAAATTAAATTAAATTAGACGCGATCAAATTAATATTTTTTTTCGGAAAACTAACGACTTTTGTTGTTTGATTTGTGACTTCTATAGTAGCATGGTTAATAATGATTCTATTATCCCTAGTACCTAAGGATATGATGTACGGGAACGATTTTTAACATTTTCAAAAATATGTCTATTACCACTTAACTAAGAGACATGGCAATTTTTACTTATTTTTGCCAGAACAGGTATGGGTTGGCCTCTTGCCCGTTAACCGCTTGACGTTGAGTTTCGTTTTAAATGAAACATATAAATAAAAAATAATTTTACCTAAAGTTTTAAATATCATTTTACACGCACACTAGCATCATATTTATCGATTTGACGGAACTCCCCCCTCCACGGATTAATAAGCTATTCTATATAAGAACACATCAGACTGCCACCTGTTCAAAAAAATTTTTGAATAGGTAGTTTGAAATTTTTACGTCATCTAGTTTTTGAGAATAAAAATTGCAAAGTGAACAAAGTTGCTGGCACCTTTAAAACGGGTACTTATTTATTTAACTCGCAATAAATAGAAAATCGGGGAACCGAAAATGTTCAAATTCACATATGTTACGTAGAAATGTTCTGTGATTACAACATTTTACTGCAATTTTTTTCATCGAGCGGTTGCGAAGATAACGATCTCTAAACTGAGAGGCCTTGACTTTTGACACGAATAGCAATTAAGGTGAATCTACAAAAGACTCTCTAAACTTGCATAAATACTTGTCGCTTTAATTTTTAAAAGTGGAACTTCAAAAGATTAAAACTTTTAACTTACAAGGGGCGTTTGTTGAAATATATTTATATGAAGTTTTTCATTTAACATTATCTAACCAGTTCATGATTAATCTGTAAGTATAACTTAAAACTTTTCTTAACGTCATAACAATAATCTTATAAAAATATTATCTAGGATTAAAATGTATACATAATATTTTATTCCACATAGCACCATATCTGGAATGACAAAAAAAGTTTAAACCCCACCAGATTCTGAAATCATCACCTATGTATTATCTAAACCAATTTTCTAACCCAATATTCTAAACCGTTCATATCGATCACACGTTCACTATACATATACACTGTTAACTCGTCATAGTATTGATACATAATGTTCTTTTCCAAGAAGGTAACGATTTTCTTTGCAGGTTTATATCATAAATATTGATTAAAACACCAATATTATTGGTAAGTACACAAAATAACGTCAATTAAAACATTATTACACGATTTCCTTACGTTTCGCTCTTATAGGACTTTATGGAAAGGTTTTCGCTATTAATCACGATTTCGGGAGGACGCATTAAGTCTTTTCCATTGATTATTCCTAGTGGATCGTCATCGTCATACGGTAATTCGGTGTCACTTTCGATAGAATCTTGTCTTTTAGTAGTTTCTGATTCAGACCCGACTTCCGTTTCAAGTTCTGAGGTGTCCTCTAAGTCCAAGGAAGGTCTCAATTTTTGTTGAAGAATTGCATCTGCTGCTGCCTCCCAAAATGTTGGCGGTGGTCTAATAAATTAATCCAAATAAGATAAACAACATATTTTATTTTAAAAGTACCCTTATATAAATTGGAATCACTTTTTTGAGATTGTTAAAGTTTAGTATCGTTTTTTTTAGAGATAAAGTGAAAATGGATTTCTAGAAACGTTTTTGTTGCGACTTCAAGGATTTAAGGGAGTTGTTAGATAAGTCACGCGAAGTTTTGTAATTAGGTTTTCTCGGAATCTATAGATACAGAGGTGTCCTAAATTATATCAACATGAATCGTTTTTATAATTAATTATAAGTAACCCAATTTATTTACAAAAAAGCAATTTTTGAAAATTTTTTGTACACATAATAACAAATACTATTTCGTGCTATTTCTACTCTAGAAATGCTTCTTTTTATCTAAATTTCTACATTTAAATCTCTACGGATTCAACTTCTACTATAAAAACATTCACAACTACAAATTTACAGCAACTAAATTAATCTATCTAACATTATTCTCACATTTAATTCTTCTTTTTTTAAATACGTAGCTTTATCTAGAGTGAAAAAAGTACGAAGTATAAAATATCCACTCACATGATGGTCACTTACTCCTCCTTCTTGTCCTCGTGCTCGATTTCCGATGATGTCGGTGGTTGGGGACTAGGGGTTGATAAACCATTCACAAGATCTTCAGCTTTCCTTTTCATATCCTTGTAGTTGGTGTCTATCGTGTCAATACTTTGTTCGATATCTTCAATATGTAACGAATCCACAACCTCTTCTTTCCTTTCAGTGATCGCTTCACCAAATTCATCGGTCATGCTATCAATTCTTTTAAATGTTTTCGACGCAGCCGTTGATAACATTTCTTTCGCGTTGTCTTTTTCGGATATAACAACCGTTTCTGCATCAGAAACAGCTTCAGTAATATTTTCTTTTGTGGCGTCAATGGTTTCGGCGACGTTATTTTTTGTTGAATTGAATGTGTTAGAAACTTTTCCGACTACATTTCCAAGACTATTTTCAACTGTATTCATCGCTGATTCAACTGCTTCTTTTACGTGTTCCATTCCTTCTTTGGCCGCATCACCAGCTTCTAAAATATTAAATATATTTAAATAATTAATGACATGATTGTAATTGAGGTTTAGCGTGTGCGAATTGAACACGTGTCATCGTTGTTTTCTGAAAATTATAGAATATATTCATGTCTAAAAATAAATCTTATTCATTTCCATAAAAAACCAACATATCATCAAGTCTCGACCGAGTTAAAGATAAAAAGAAAGAAAAAAACAAATTTGCATAACTTTCTATACGTTAAAATCTTGTAAGAAAATCATGAACAAAAATCAACTTGTATGACTTATGGGACGTGTTACATTCATTATTCATCAGCGTGGTTATAACAATACGAAGTGAAGTTAATGGACTTCCTTTTTACATACCGTCGCCGCTTATCGCCGAACATAGAGGGTTAAAAGTGAAGGTTACAAAACGTGGGGGCCACGTTTGGTGTGGCAGTTTTCTTGGTCGGCGGCCAAACCCCCTCAATGCCTAATAACAACACAACGTCTAGGTAGTTTAGCTATTTTTAGCTCTGATCGCAAACCTATTGTACTTTTAATATTGATTTTTAAGTACATTAGTCACACGAAAAAGGGTACTGAACGATATAATAGAATTAACAAGTTCGAATTTTAAAGTCAATTTGAAAAAGTTAATATGTTTGAAAAACTAAAATCTTTAATAGGTGCATCTTATGTACAATTAAATATTTTGAGAATTTAATTAAAATAGTTCAGAATGCTTAAAGTTTAATTAAGGTTATTATGGAGTAAAATTTCTTAATGATTTTAACGATTACGAATCAACAGGTGGAAAATGTTTTTTATCCCAGTAATTAGTTTATTACAGTGTCTACAATCAAACAGAACAATCGATAAAGATGTTTATACCAACACTACAATTCTTACACGAAAGACAACTCGGAACATTGCAATCATAATACAGTTCATTCGAAAATATATTGCCGTAAATATCCAATGACTTATCGAAGCACACCATAAAAAATAACTAATACTGTACCTTATGATTTAATATTCCCACAATTGAAAATAGTATTTGATCAATTAAAACCTGATGTGCATAAGAAAATAGATTTAGAATGATTGCGATAAAAGAAAGATACAGAAAGATTGACAAAAACAGTGTAAAGGAGAAAATGTTCAAGTCAAACGAATTTGTATGAATACACAACCCCATAAGCTACTCAAAATCAAACTATTAAAAAACTGTACTTTTTACATAGTCTATATGGAGGCAATTAAGAAGAGAAAGTATGCTGACTTAATAATACATCGACCAGTTTCAGTTAAATCTATACCAGAAGTTGTACCAGCACAATAACATCTGAAATCTGAAGAGACAACATCTTTTAAATTGAAGAAACTAAAAATGAAACATTTTTATACGTCGAAGAGGTAATGTAGTAGCATCAATGTACAATAGAGAGTGCGTGTTATCAATAAAATAAAGTTAGTTACCCTATGAGATGAGTTGTTCACAAGGATCAATATGCATAAAATAGTGTACTGTTAAAATAACTGTAAATACAGGGTGGAGCAGAGCAACTTCCAATTCAATTAAAAAGTAATACAGATATATATTTAATTCTTTGAACAGCATCAAGTACATATTTTAATTTTATGTTTACACAGTTTTATTTAGATGATATCCGGCAGATGATGTCCATTATTCTCAATACAAAGCAATCGACGGGTATATTGGCGATAGCTCGTCGAATGTTGTTCTTCAGGTGCGTTAGGATCCTAGAACGATTGTTGTAAACAAGTGATTTTAGATAAAAATCAATAAAAAAAGCCTCATAAAACAGTGCAGATCGACACTCAAGGAGATGAGGCGTCCTGGGAAGTGTTGCCACAAAACAGTCATTGACACACGCGCTGTTTGTGCCTTGGCACTGTCCGGTTGAGACCATTCATCTAGTTGTGGGTTGGCAGAAAAATCCGGAATCATATGGACATAACGGTCAGAAGTCACCAAAAGTGCCCGTTCGTTTTCTTCAAAAAGCCATGGACTAATTTGTTGTAAAAAAAAGGGTTTTTGGGGAAGAGATGAGATCGAAAATAAACCAACTCGCAGTGATGACACCAACTAGTTTTAAAATCGAAATTGATGTTGTGATCCATTTCAACTAGTAATCGAAATGTCGTTTAAAGGAATGTAAATAATTTTTGCACTTTTACTGGTTTAATATACAGGGTGTGAAATGTTTGGAATATAGCCAATAACTTCGCCATTTATGGTTTTAAAGAAAAATTTTTCAAATAAAAAATTCTTTATTAATTGTGGCGCATTTTTTGGCGATACTTGCTTGTTTACATTGTTTTTTGACCGGCGCGGCGAGACGATAGCAACAAACCGCTCAGCAACAAATTATTTTTTCCTTTATATTTCCACCTACTTCTAGGGCCCATACCCTTCGTTACCTAGAAAGATAGCGAAAAACTAAGCACACGGTTGGAAAGCTTGGTCTTTTCTCTATCTTACTCGCGTTTCCAAACGTGTTCTTAGTTTTTCGCTATCTTTCTAGATAACGAAAATATTTTACCGAAAAGTAGACGGAAATACAAGGGAAAAGTTTGTTGCTGGGCTGAAAAACGATTGTGCAAACGTGTTATTGAGATGTGTTATATACTGTTGAAAAGAGCAGAAAATTTCCCATAAGATGAATATAGTTCTAGAGTTTTCTCCCCGTCATATAAGAGAGTCATTGACCCAAGCGTGGTTTAGCCGCGGCAAAAATTCGTGGCAGCGTGACGTTTCTTATTTTTTCTTGTTCTCATTATCAACATAAACTCGCTATCTTTCTAGATAACGAAGATATGGGCCTTAGAAGTAGGTGGAAATATAAAGGACAAACCAACATTGTTATTTTAAATGGGATGCATATATATTTTTTGCATACTTTGATAGAGGAGTCCCTCTATGCGATGAACATATCAAATCATATGGTTGTATAAGAAAAAAATGGAGAAAAAATGCGTTTTTTGAAAGTCTTAAATCAGCTAATTACAATCAAAGTAGGCGCCTAAATAACGCCGTTGACAGCTTTAAATGTCAAAAAACTGACAGTTTAAACAAATATGGCGCAATTAAGCGAACGACAAAGAATCCAAATATTAATAATGTATGGGTACGGTGCAGGTGATAGAAAACGCACTCAAAGTGAAGTTGTGTTCGCACTGTTCAATAATATTTACCCGGATACACAAATTACACAATCCACTTTTTAAGACTTTCAAAAAACGCATTTTTTCTCGATTTTTTTTCTTATACTACTATATGAATTGATATGTTGATCGCATAGAGGGACTTATCCTTTATCAAAGTATGCACAAAAAATATATGCATCCCATTTAAAATAACAATGTTACTTGCCACAGCAACGAAACAAAAAATAATACAAACAAGCAACTCGCCAAAAAATTCGCCATGATTAATAAAGAAACTTGTATTTGAAACATTTTTCTTTAAAACCACAAATGGCGAAGTTATTGGCTATATTCCAAACATTTGACACACCCTGTATATATTATTTTGAATAATAAGTTCTAGTTTTACAACTATTTTTAATTAGATGTTCTTCTAGCAGCGACAACTTATATTCTGTCTTTTTCAACTCGTCGGCGTCACATATAATGCAATGAAAAAACGGGTATTGCATTTCACTGCATCGGCACATTCAGTCGTTTGTTGTTAAGTTAAAATAATGATTAAAATAATCTTAAAATAATCATTAAAATAATGAATTTACAACAAATTATTCCAACTCACGATAATGTAAATCAAATTGTTGCACGTTGGGAATGTAGAGGACTCTGATGAACTTATCTGGGGTTATCAGGGCCCCAATAGCACATGTTCTGCTTATTTACGGACCCCGAAATATCGAAGTGTGTTCATCACTGAAGAAAAAAGTGTGCCCTGAGGTATGCTAAAAAGCGCCTCGCATACATATTCTCGAGCAACAAAATCGCGTGTATTAAGTTTCTGCACCAAGGCCAATTTGGAGGGATGAAATAATAGGTTATTTTGAAAGATTCGCCCAGGTATTTTTCTTCAAATCACCAGTTTCCCTGAAGTTGTTTACCCAAGAAACAATCGATTGCCATCCAGGAACTCGACCAGGGGCGCAATATATAAAATGGGTGTGTTGTATACATATTGAACGACAATTAGAAAAGTATGTCTCGACAGCGAACGCACGCTCCATCTTCATGCACTGCGAGAACAATAACTTTACGATAAATCTTCTCGAATGTGCCTACCCCACCCTCCTCGGAACAACCATCGTTTCATCGCGCCAAATTCAAATAAGCAAGTTGCTATGCTCCACCCGGTATGTTTCGTTTTGACATCTTCCAACATCACTAACATCCTCCAACATATTTGCTATCAACATTGTTGATGNGGCCAACCCTGTTTGCGTCCCATTTAAATAACTAAATAAAAACATCAGCTAGGATTCCGCATCTTTATTATGTCCTCAAAGTGTGAACACCTCGGACGTACTTATTGTCTGTGTAATGAGGATGACACTTCATCATTGATGTAATGATTGACATCAACGTCAGTTTGCTTTGTTGATCAGCAATAAATAGAACTTACAGGTTTTGTCCTGGTAAAACTCGGGTTGAAGGCATGTTCATGACATTGGTAGAAATACGCCCCCATCTGATATAATTTCTTGACAACTAACGTTTGTATATATAAAGTTGTAATTTGCATCAACTACAGCCAATGGTACAATACTGTGGAGTACTTGTTGTTAAAAAAATCGGAGCCACTATTCAGAGGAGCTTGCAAGATTACATGGTTTCTATCCTTCCGCTAACACAATGTGGAAACTTCGATTTATTCTGGAACTCTTGTGGAATAATCTCCCATTCTCTTTCATTTACTGGCATCTACAACGAAATTCTTTTAGGTAGAAAAGGCTTCTCAACAAGAAGAAGAGGAAAATGATGAAGATCAATATATTTCAGCAATAGACGGACATGAAGCTGATATCTTCCACATGTTGACCTTTTAACAGAAGCATGAATCTCGATGTACTACGCCTATATTGAAGAAGATGTGTTCGGAATATATCAGTCAGATATACTTATATCGGACCGCTATCGGAAATTAGCATTCCCTCATGCAAGATTTATGGTGCAAGTTAATAATACGTTTGAGGCAGAAATGGATAAATATGATGGTCTTGTTTTTCAATGTCAGCAATGTGAATTGATTGGATCAATGCAGCATTATCTACAACTATACCATCTATTACTCCTTCTAAACACCAATTACTTTCAGATACGCCGTTCCCAAGAATCTCACCAACGAAGAGTGAAGATACTGATCTAAGTTTGTACAAAAATTTAATATATACTTTTGTTGTGAAGGCTTATGAAGGCATTACACCAATCAGTGTAACCAACTATGCAGATTTCTGCAAAATATGCTTCATCATCTATTAACATAGTTCTTGATATCGCTCAACATCGTCTCTGGTAACTAAAATGTAATACATAATATCTCTGAATATATGTTTATAATAGTTGATATCCTGCAATATCGCCGCTGGTATTCCTCAACAATGTCTATGATGTTGCCCAACATCGTCCCGGACATTTCTTAACATAATTCTTCAATACTGCTCTGTCCTCCCTCATCGCATTTTTCATCATCTATCTTAGATATTATGGACGATATTATTTTATAAATTTCCAAAATAATTCCTAATAACAAGCTTAGCGATATCAATCTAAACAATATACTATGTATAATAACTGGTAATTCTTAACAGCTTCCTATGAACAAAACAACAGCGACCAAATAACTACTAAACTATTTTTATTGATTTTTCCTGTTTTATTTTTGACCCTGATAGAAACTTTCCCAAAAGCTTAAAATATTGGCATATTATAACAACAGAATGGGCAAATAGGATTAAGAAAACTAAACTGCTATCTTCGGTTAATAAGTTTTTTGTTTATCATTTTTGACTTTGACGACGGAACAAAAACAACGAAGCGAATTAAACGAAATAATTAAAAGATTTCGTAAGCGCTTGAAGCTGTGGCATGGATTTATTTCATAAAGTTTTTGATAAGTTATACTAATCAGAAATAATCTTTCACTTCAATTCAAAAATCGACTAAACAGAATTTTTAGTACATTAGTACCTATTCATTACTTGGCAGAATGGTGGTTCTTTCACGGGATTTTCTATTCACAAATAACGCAAAGATATTTTTAGTTAATCCAGAGCTGATGACTAATAGAAAACTTCAGATTGATGGCAGAAATATTTGATAACGGGTAAAGAATATTAGAAGAAAGCTTGAGAATACTAGGTGATTAGAAAGTAATACCTGATGACTAACATACACTAAATAACTCGCATAAAATAGTAGGTAACCAAGAAAGAATTTTATCTGACTGGTAGAGAGTACCACGCGGATGGAAGAAAATACAAAACGAATGACGAAGAATACTTTTATAGGTGACTGGAAAACAACAGTAGTCATATATTTTGACTACCAGACAACTCCAGAATGTTGACAGAGAATACCATAATGTGGGCGAATCACTGGCTGAGAAAACAGATAAGTGACAGAAAACGCCAGACAATTGGTAGAAAATACTAGAGGAATAAAGAACTGAAGATGAAAGAAGATGAAATTATTAAATCTAATCTGTGTTTCAGTACTAATTTTTGGTTTGCAAAATGTCATTTTGCTCATTTGAAAAAGTTTATCGATAAATAAAGGAATTAATGCTCTATATTCGATTTTAAGCTAATTGAAAATTTCTATTCCATCTTAGAGTAATAATTTGTATGCATTTTTATGACTTTAATACGTTAACGATGTATTTGAAAAAGCACAAAATATCTGAAATATAAGCCATACAATTTTATAAATAAAACCAAGCTTGAAAATCACAATTAGTTTTTGAATATCGTTTTTCAAGTCAATCAGAATTTTTGTCAATTAAAAAGTTAACAATTTTTTCCATCGTTGTAAAAAGTTTTAGCTTATTATTTGATATTAAATTCATTGTTTTGTTATTATAAATAAAATATAAACGATTTTATAAAGTTTCTATAAAATATTAAAATTTTGAAATTGACTTCCATTTTATTATTAAAAAAGAACGTAAGTAAAGAATTTATAGGAAAATTCAGTAACGATTTATACATCAAATTAAAAAGAAGATTTCCTGCTTTATTTTAATATAAAAATCATTACTTTATTATAATACAAAATAAAATCTACACGACATTTCAAAGTTTGTATTAAATATTAAAATTTCTTAATTGACTTTGATTTTATCCCATCATTAAAAAATCGTAAATAAATATAATTAATAGGAATTCAGTAACGATTTATACATCAAATTAAAAAGAAGATTTCCAGCTTTAATTTGATATTAAAGTTATTAATTTGTTATACTAAATAAACTCTACACGACTTTTTAAAGTTTGTAAAAAATATTACAATTTTTAAATTGATTTATTATCTTATTATTAAAAAAATCGTAAGTAAAGAATTTATAGGAATTTAGGAATGATTCATATATCAAATTGAAAAGAAGATTTCCAGCATTATTGTGATATTAAAAACATTATTTTATTATAATAAGTAAATACTATACGATTTTCGAAAGTTTGTATAAAATATTAAAATTTTTAATTGACTTTGATTCAATTTTATTATTAAAAAAATCGTAACTAAATCATTTATAGTTTATAGGAATTCACATATGAAATTAAAAAAAAGATTTCAACCTTATAATATAATATATTTATTTAATTATAATTTGGTATATTTATTGCTTTATTGTAACTCTACACTTTTTTAACTTTCAAACAATAAACAAATTTATTTGTGTCTTGTAGTTTCATAGAGCAAATTAAACTTTATAACTCAACAAGTTGTTGCAATTAATCGTAAAATGAAAGTATTCCCAATCCATTTCTTAATTTTTTTTGAGTTTTATATGACAGTTAGAATTATCGATAAAACTGAAAATTCTAGAAAATTCTTTAGTTCTTTTGATTTCTTCCTTACAAATTTTTATGATTATGCCTCAACAAAATAACAAAATTGGTTGAGTCATTTTAGCATTATTCAAAAAAAATCTTTATTGACACACTTTCAATCTAATCTACCCCACCTTTATAATAGTAAACCATTATTATCACCAACCCTTCGCTAATTAGATGGAAGTAGAACATGTTTGTACCACACGTAACAACACCCCCATTTTTCCTTTTTAATTTTTTTTTACTTTACTTTTAATGATTATAACCCAAATTAAAAAAAAAATTTAATTTATATGATAAACTCACCATGAATAGTATGTTCTCCTTTCGCAACAACATCATTGACAGATTCTTTCGCGGTGGTAACAAGATTTTTGCCACCTTCAACGAGTGGGTTACTACTTGCGCACCCCATATCGAAATGTTCAAGAACGTTGAAGAACGCAAACTGTTTTCCCTTGACGACGGTTCCCCACCAACTAAATTGCTGTTGTGCTGACCCTTGGTCACCACCGGTGGATTGTAGACGTAAGGGTTATATCGTGGGGGTATTTTCCACCCTCCCCAACGTGTTTCGACATAAATATTACCGTCGCAGAGCGTCGTTGAAAATGTCTCACGAAAGATATGACACGATATGGAGGAGTTCAAAGAACTCTAACGAGTTAATTTATGTGGGGTGGTGTAAATGTTTCGTGGTAGATGATTATTAATGTTATTGGTGAAATTCAATATAAATAAAGGTTGTGGGTATAATTAGATTTCTTACGACGTCATAAATTTTCTTTGTTTTCGTAATATGTTATTGGTCACGTTCTAACTTAATCTGCATGCAAGATTTCAAAAAATGATTGTTAACCGAAGGTTGTAGTTATATGATTTTCTGTCTAAATTAATCGATATTGCCATTGAAAACTTATCTTTATTATCCTTGAACTATGAATAAGTTCTTGAATTATTTATTTAATCATGTATAAAAAATAACAACATCGATTAAACCCAAAATAAAAGTTACTATGTTCTAAATTAATCGTTTTTAATAACAGAGTTATACGTCATCATTATTCTTAATGCTCTAATTTAATTTAACTTCTTTTATTGTGGCGTTATAAGAATTCATATAAAATTAAGTTTAATTATTTGTCGTAAATCTTAATTAAATTTATCGCATTGAATTTTATTTCATCTCATCTAGTTTTTTAGATATCTTTAGTGTAAGTTTGCAGTGTTAAAAATTGCGTGCAAAAAGGTTATTGATCGACCTTTTGACAGTCGGTCAACACAGCCAGTTATAATTACCCACGTGCCCCATAACTCCGTTCTAATGTATTATGCAGAACTAAGGAAATAATGACTTTTCTTGGTTTGGACATTGATTGAATAGCGGCGAATGTGATTTAAAATTAGTACGTTAAATTTAGACCAAAGTAATTCATGTTGTGTACAACAATAACGATCTTTTTGAAATCCGTACAACGACAGCAACAAACTTTTACCCTTGTTTTTTTCACCTACTTTACAAGCCGATGTCTTCGATATCTTTAGAGATAGCAACATATTAAATTCATCACTAGAAAGCCTGCTCTTTGTTTTATTTAAATCCGGGTTTTGTCCTGGCGATATCTTGGGAGAGATTATCCTGTTTAAATACATTCTATAAGAAAAAGAGCCAACGAATGGCTTAGTCCAGATGGTAGGACAAAAAATTAGATAGTCTTTGTACTCTCTAATGACAGAAAGTTATATAAAGATCTCACCGTCCTAAATCATTTTCATACTGGCAGTATCATCGTGGTTCGTTCGGCCACGTTTAGAAATAAAAACTACAAAGAATTAAACTCTAAATTAAAACCAAACTCCCAACAATGGAGGTGCTCGACCTCAACAACGAAACATACTAAAATGAGCACTAATGACATAAGAACATTCACAAAAAAAATCTGTAGCAGAGGTAAAAACATAAAAGAGATTAAACTTGAACCGGAAACTGTACAGCTAATGGAAAACCGAAGGAAAACACAGATATGTACAATACAAAAATATTAATCGCATTGTCAAAAAGAAAATACGAGCAAATCTAATACTAATATAAGATAAAATATAGCCAATGGAAAACCAAACATAACGGAAATAAAAGATGAAAATGAGAATACAGTAAAACCTCGTTAGAGCGAACTCGAAGGGTCGAAAGAATAACTAGTTCGTGGTAAACGAATTCGTATAAACCGAGTAAACAATAAAAAAAAACGTGAAGTTTTTTGTTATCGAATATTTTTTTATTAATGAATAAACAAGACACATATTATTTATTATATAAAAACATAACTAGGTAAATGTAAAAAGTTATCGATTATGACATAAAACTAAACTATTGATTTATTGACTTTAAAAAAGTCAGTAATGTTTTTTTGCTTTAATTTTGAAACCATTTTAATGGCACACTCAATGGAAATTGTTTCCAAACAATTTTCAAATTGCTCACTTACATTCATAGTTGCTGAGAATCTAGCTAAAACTCGTAAAGCGGCATTAACTTCTTCTCTGGTGGGCTGGAGGTGATCATTACTTTCATCACTATCTACAGATGACAAGGATGTAGTTGTAGGAACAGGAATGTTGTTATTGGTATCTTCAAAAGTGCTCAGGACTGGCTCTGGACAAATGGCCAAATCGTTATCGGCATTAACGATATCTTCAAATGAAATTTCAAGTGGCTGTATCTCTTGTAAAACAGTCCGTTCTCTGGGTGCTGGTGGTAATAAATCTAAATTTTCTTCATCTGTTAAATCAGTGTTCGGCCATACTTTATTAAAGCAACGTTTAACTGTTTGTTGATTAACTGCATTCCAAGACGAACCTATTGCTTTAATAGCTTGTAGCAAATCCCATTTAACAGTTCCATTGTTTTCAATAGTAAAAATAGCAAATTTCACTAGTTTTGCCTTGTAAAGACTTAAAATTAGCTATTATGCCCTGGTCAAGTGGCTGCAATCGACTTATAGTGTTGGACGGAAAGAAATACACCGTAATATTAGATAAGTTTAGGTTTTCAGTTTTATGTGCAGCACAGTTGTCTAAAGTTAAAAGAATATGACGACGTTGGGCAATCATCTTCTGATCTAGTTTGAGCAGCCATTCTCGAAACGCTTGAGCATCTATCCACGATGACACATGATGAGTATAATCACACGGTAAATGTGATTTATCAACATTTTTAAAGCATCGTGGGTTACGCGATTTACGAGAGATGATGGGGGCGTAAACTACGATCAATCGACGAAGTCCAAAGGAGACAACACCAATGGTACGGCCACGTTGAAAAAATAGCTCCAGGAAGAATCCAGAAGAAAGCGATGCAATGGAGTCCAACGGAAAGAAGAAGTAGGGGGCGTCCAAAAACGACATGGACATCGGGGATAAAGAAAGCGATGTCCGAAAGAAACTTGGCACCAAGAGATTTGCAATCGGAAGGCGGAAAACGCTATAAATCGAAATTGTATATACAGACTGTGTCAAATGTCAAACGTATGGAATATAGCCAATAACTTCGCCGTTTGTGGTTTTAAAGAAAAATGATTCAAATACAAGTTTCTTTATTGATCGTGGCGTATTTTTGGGCGATATTTGCTTGTTTGTATTGTTTTTTGTTTCGTTGCTATAGCAACCAACATTGTTATTTTAAATAGGATGCATATGCCTTTTTGCATACGAACCTATTGCTTTAATAACTTGCAGCAAATCCCATTTAACATTTCCATTGTTGTCAATAACACGAATAGCGAATTTCACTAGTTTTGCCTTGTAAAGAGACTGCAATCTACTTGTAGTGTTGGACGGAAAGATGTTATAGTGTTGAAGTTAGATAAGTTTAGGTTTTCAGTCAAAATGACTTAAAATTAGCTACTATGGCCTGGTTAAGTGGCTGCAATCTACTTGTAGTGTTGGACGGAAAGATGTTGTAGTGTTGAAGGTAGATAAGTTTAGGTTTTCAGTTTTATGTGCAGCACAGTTGTCTAAAGTGAAAAGAATATAACGTTGGTGAGCAATCATCTTCTGATTTAGTTTTAGTAGCCATTCTCGTAACGCTTGAGCATTTATTCACGATGACACATGATGAGTATAATCACACGGTAAATGTGCTTTATCAACATTTTTAAAGTTATCGTGAGTAAAGTCACTCGATGTTTACTTTTTACACCTCCATGACAACGTTCTCCTTTAAAATGTAAGGTACGGTTGGGCATTATGTTGTTAAAAATTCCGTTTTCATCCATATTACACACATCTTGTGAGGCGTATGAATTTTTAACGGTTATAACATTTGGCAACCACAAATTTACGGAGTTTTCGTCTACTTTTGCTGACGCACCGCACATTTGTAAACCAACCATGTTGTGACGTTGTTGGAAACGCCATAGCCATCCTGAAGAACATTCAAAATTTTCAATTCCATATGTCGCGGCAATTATCTTAGCTTTATCCCGTAATATTGGTCCTGAAAGCGCTATGTTAGAAGCTCTCATATGATTAAACCATTCCAATAATTCATATTGAACGTCTTCATATTTTGCAGTTCTTATTCGCTTAAGCCAACGTTACACGTCGCAATTGACTGCTATGGCGGCAACTACGAAGGAGCGTGGTTTGACTGTTCCCGTCAAAATTTGCGTGTAACATGTCTATTACCATAGTAATGACTGCGAACATAGCTACTGCGAAGGCTAGAAAACTTTCTACTTTCGGTATATCACGGAAATTTGATGATTAAACACGCCAAATTGACGCTAGCAGTCAAACCACGCCCAACCACACCCCTCCGTAGTTACCGCCATAGCAGTCGATTGCGACATGTAACGTCGGCTTTAGATTTCGTTGAAAATGAACTGCTTGCAATGGCTCCAATAAGTTGTTCACTTTTCTTAATGATTGTAGAAAGAGTTGATTTAGGAATTTCGAACTTTTTTGCTATTTCTGTTTTAGTTAACTCAGATTTATCTACTTCATCCAAAATCATTTTCTTTATTTTAATATCAATTGCGTTCTTTCTTTTTTTGTTTTGCTTTGACGACATTTTGTGTTAAAATTTAAGAACTATTCTATTGAACAATTTATAAAAGACTAAAACATGTTTAAACGTGTTTGTGAATTCGAATTATCCGAACGAAATTGTACGTTGGGACATAAAATCTAGTTCGCAGTTCGTACAAACGGAAATTTGTCTTAACCGAGCAAAAAGTAATACAATTTGGAAACAAATTGCTTGGGACCAGTACTTTGTTCGTGATAACGAGGTGTTCGCGTTAACCGAGTTCGTCTAAACGAGGTTTTACTGTATAATCCTTGCAAAAGAAATCCAAACATTCTATGAAAATATAAGTAGGAAGGCTATCACAGCCGGTCTTAATTAAACTAAAACTAGAACTAACACTAGCACTACCACTAGAACTAGCACTAGACC